AAAAACGGCCTCTTTAGACAATGAATGGCCCATCTCGATGGGGTGACAATGTAAAAATTTATCACCAGACCGTCGACTCTGTGAGCGGCAGAACGAGGGTCTCTGTAGGGTTTCCTTCGGCCGAAGAGCACTCCGTGGCGTCACCCGACAAACGCCCGTACCTCGTGCCCCACGTTGGGCGCCACTTGTCCCGGCCTGCGGGACCTTCTGTTACTTGCGGGGGTCAAGGGGGACCTTGCCTGAAAGAGATGAGCGAGAGAAAGGAACGAGACCAAGCAAAGGGTTGTCAAGGTCTGCTTTACTTAGATTCTTAGTAGGTTTTATAAGCATACAGAAACAAGGAAGTAGAAACAGAAAAATAGAGTGGGGCGACGATGAGGCTTGGGTCTGGGTTAATCAGCCCCAATCAGCGTCTTATTGGTATCCTGTTTTTGACTGGTTACTCATCTCCAACCTGGCAGGTGGTCGGGAACAATTGCAGTCAGCACTCCCTGGAGCATCCCGTGGTCAGCACGTCATGGAATGCATTCTTCTCGGAGCTATAGCTGGAATTTTCCAGGGCAAAGTCCGTGCGTAGGACGAGTCATAGGGGAGTTGAGGGTCTTTGAGGGTCCTTGCCTCTAACAAGCCAGCACCTCCTGGGACCAGGCTTGGGTGAATTGAGTCTGGGAAGGTGTGCTGGGGTCAGGCTTGTTGCTCCAGCTGACCTTGGCAGTGGGCAGTTCCCTGGGCAGGGTAGGGCCCATGCGTGATGATTTTGGCCCTGAGCTGGCCATCCACTCTGCCTTCAGCCGTCCCTGGCAGCATCACCCTGTGAATGTACAGGGAAGGCCTGAGATGCGAGGTTGCTGCTCACAACTGAGAATGTGGCTTCATGCTGGCTGTGGCCACTGTCCAGACCTAGGCAGGCCAGAACTTCTCCTGTCACGCCCTAAATCAACACCTTTGAAGGGTCCTATGCCCAGGCCTCCCAAGGCTCGCCCTCTTGTTGCACGTGCCGTGGGGACCTCTTGCACTCCAGCTCCTACCTGCAGCTTCGGGTTACTCCTCCTGTCCCACAGAGGCCCCAGTGCTGCAAGCAGCACCAGATGTTCTGTTGTTGGCACAGCTGTTACAAGTTGTGTACCTACTGTGTGCTGGGCACTGCTGTGACCCCTGATTTTCAGATGGGAAAACTGAGGCTTGCTTAGGGTTGTAGGTGGTGGAGACAAATTGGATCTGAGTGCAGCGCCTCACCTGGGCTGTCCCTACTGGCCTCTTGCATCGGCTCCTGTGCACAGGGCCAGCTTGAAGGGTCCCCAGTCACGCCCAGAGCAGGAACCTGAGTCGTCAGGACTCTCCCTCACCCCCCACCCAGCCCCCCTGCCCCTCCACGCCAGTCTCCTTGCAGCCAGAGCGGGCTTCCTTCCACATGCCTCGGAGCTGGTCCTGAGCTGCTCAGACGGCCTGGGACGTGCTGCTGTTTTGTTCGCCCTCCAGACTCTGTCACCACTGTTTACTCCGCAGCATTTCCCACCTTACTTCGAGATGCCCATGTGGGCACCTTCTGACGGGGCTTGGCCTGGCTGGGCAGCCATGAATGGTGCTGGAGTGACTCATGCTGTGTGACCCTTAGGCTGTCAGGCTCTCCGTGGCCGCGGTTTCCCCCTGCACTGTGGGGTCAGCAGAGGGGAGATGCTGTTGGGATTCCCCCCGAGGGGCTGTCTGGGAACAAGAGCCCACTGTGCGCCTGGGGAAGGCCTGGACACTGAGCCACTGTTTCCAGGCAGGCAACGTGCGGCTCCCTGGCCCAGACTCTTTGTCCAGCCTGGGCCTGCCCCTCCCCTGTGTCTGCCGTGGGGCTCCCCCACCACATGCCTTGTGGATCCCACCCACTTGAGGCCTGGGTGGGGAACCGGGCATACACGAGTGGGCAGGCCAGGAACACAGTACTGAGGCCAGAGTGGGCGTCCTCTGCTGTCTGCTGGACCTAGAGCTGTGTGGTTCTCAAACACCTTCCTGCCTCCACCCCTAGCACAGGAGGGGTTTGGGTGGAGGTGAGGCACCCCAGGAGACATGGCATGGAGGCTCACGAACTGAACTCCCCAGCATTTCCTGGGGCCAACTGCGGGCTTAGGCTGAAGTAGGGACTGGGGGATGTCTTGAGGAATCCTCCGTTACTCCAGATCGTGGAGACAGGCCCCTGCTAGCCTGTGCTCTGCCGTGATCAGTGTTTACCCAGTGGTGGCTTCAGAGCAAGCATGTCTTGGCCACTGTGGACCCAGCAATGGCAGGACAGGACCGCACACATAGGATCAAACTCCCCTCCTGTGCCATGCTATGCCCAGGGATCCAGGCCGAGGAGCACCTGTGGGAGTGGGGCAGCCTGCCTGAGGCTGCAGGTCCTCGAATACATGGGAGGCTGAGCAGAGTACTTTTGCTGGGGGCTCTGAGCGAGATGGGAGGGAGCCAGGTGTGAGGACAGGCCTTGCTGGGGACAGCAGGCGCCATGGAGGGTTATGGGTAGTGTGAGTCGAGCAGGCGGCAAAGTTGCTTGCACTTCTGAGCCCAGGGCCAGCTGATGTCGTCTAGAGATGCTGGGCACAGGTAGAGAGGCTCCTCGAGGGGTAGCCCCCGGCACCCTGCCTGCTGACTCCTAGTGGTGGGAGTCAGCTCCCACCTGCTCCTCTCTGGACCCCACAACGACCCGTTCTCTAGGCAAGAACACCAAGGCTAGCTAAGGCATGTGATTGTTGGGTGGCAGGGCCAGAGTGGCCCCTCAGGGTGGACTGAAGGCAGCATGGCTTCCCCTACCTGAAATATTAAGGGGGTCTCCATCCTGCCTGGTGCCTGGCCCCTTACCCGCAGTGGGGCCCGCACAGCCTGCGGGTCAGCATGCCTGGGTCCCCACCTGGTGGCTGGGAGGGTGTGCTCAGGAGGCTGCAGCAGCTCTGAAGGCTTAGGAAGCTTCTTCCTCAGCCTTCCCAGCACCTTGCCAGCCTTCCACCACCTTCCCACCCTCAGTGTCTGAGGCTCAGGGGCGGCCCCTGCTGGCCATTTCCCTACCAGCAGGGTGTTGGCGCTGCGGCCCACCTGACCTGTGCGCTGTTGGCACCGTGGCTGGGCCACATCAGGGGACACACAGGTCCAGGCTGAGTTGGGGTAGAGTCAGATGCTGACTGCTAGAATTCTCAGTCAGGCGCCTTCATGCTGGACACTGGCCCCTCCCTCAACACTGTGGGCTCGGCACGGGCGGGGGCCCAGAAGGGACTGCTAGTGTCGTGCAGACAAATGCTGCCCTGAGGTCAGGCTGCCGACGGCATGGAGAGGAACTCAGCGCTGGGGGGCCGTGTGGGTGGAAAGACCCCGGGCACCATGCCTGGGATGCCCCCCTGAGGTTTGCTCCCACCTGCGCCTTGGGACCTGAAGTGGATGGTCAGCTCAGAGATGGGGCTGGAATGTGAGGGTAGGCTGAGACCCAGGAGAAGGCACCTGAAGGACCCCTCCCACCTGGTCTGTTTCTGGCCTGTGGAGCTCAGTACCTGGAGCTGTCCCTGGCTGGTGCCCTAGAAGCCATGAGCACTGTCCCAGGACCCTTCCTGGTCCATGTAAGACCATTAGGAGCTATGAGCAGTGTCTTGGGCCTTTCCCTAGTTATGCTGCCCTGGATGTGTGACCTTGAGCAAGGCAAGCTTCTGTTCTCTAGGCCTCAGTTTCCCTGCTTGTACAGTATGGGTAGAGCTTTCTTTATATCCTCGCCAAGCAGCTGAGAGGGAAACTCACAAGTGGAAGCTGTTTCTGGAGGCTTTAGTGGGTGGGTTATAGACCCTACTACCCTCTTTGAAGGGGCTGAGGCATTTTTGGTTTTCTGCCCAAAATGGCTCCAGGAAGCTCCAGCCCTAACTCTCCGTGTCCCTGTTGTGTTTCCAATCTTGGATCTCTACTTGTCCCTCTTGGTGGGGGAGGTGCAGATCTGTCCCAAGGCGTAAGGGGGGGCAGTAGCGTCCTGAGGAGGCCATGCCTCACAGTCACGTTGCCAGGGAGTGGTGCTCCAAAGCGAACCCTGGCCTCTCTGCTCGTGGCCCTTCCCCTGTGCCCAAGTGACAGGTTTGGGGTTTGGGGTCGCAGGTGTTCAGGCTAGTGCCAGCCATGCAGTGCCCCTCACTACCCCCAGTGTTGAGCACCTTCGCCGCTGTTTCCGGGCATGTGGTACCACTTGGTGGTCATCGCAGTGTCTGTGCCCAGGTGGCTTTGGAAAGCCGTTTGTGCACAGAAGCCTGGCACTGCCAGCTGCTCTGCTTGCTGGGGAGCCATGTCTTCCTCTGAATGTGGTGGTTCTGTGCGATACACTGATCACACACCCCTTGCAGACTGTTGTGCGCACAGTGGGCACTGTCTCTGGAGTGGAAGTCATGGTTAAGAGGATGAAGTCTGGGTCAGACAGGCCTGAGATTTGCCCTGTGTAGATGGGGGTGAGCCCATGCTCACTGTGACCACACTGCTATTCCCTATGTCTAGAACGCCCTCCGAAACCCCAGCCGCACTCACTCTCCTCCTTTAAGCCTTTGCTCAGACGTCACCTCCCAGGGAGGCCTCACTGCCTCCCACCGAGCAACCGTAATCTGCTGTCTTTCCAGTCACACTTAGCATCTTTTAACACAGTGCATTTACTTACTTGTAGGTTGATTATTCTCTAGGCTGTGCACTCCAGGAGGGCAGGGACTTTGTCGTGTTTATTCACCAGTGTGTCCCAAGCACCTAGAACAGTGTCTTGGTCACAGTAGGCCCTCAGTAGTTGTCTGTGGAGGATTTGTGTTGTCTGAGGACCTAGGGTATGCCCAGCTCTGTCTGTCGAGGTGAGCATGTCAGTGCTGAGCACACAGTAGGTCTCTGACAGCGGGAGCCATGAGCACCACTGTGGGGCTTGTCATTGCTTCTGCCTCCTCCTGGGTTTGGGCCCAGTGCGTCCTCAGGTCTGTCAGTGTTGTCCTGACTGAACGGCACCCCCGACCCTGCCCCAGGCCTGCCCTACTGCACCTGGAACCATGAGTGAGGCCCGCAGAGACAGCACGAGCAGTCTGCAGCGCAAGAAGCCTCCCTGGCTGAAGCTGGACATCCCAGCTGTGGTGCCCCCGGCTGCAGAGGAGCCCAGCTTCCTGCAGGTAGGCCCTGGTCAGCAGGGGCTGTGGGTGCACCCCGTTCAGTCCCCTCACTGTGCCCCTGTTGCCCAGCCCCTGAGGCGCCAGGCTTTCCTGCGGAGTGTGAGTATGCCAGCGGAGACAGCCCGCGTCCCTTCGCCCCACCCTGAGCCCCGGCGGCCAGTGCTGCAGCGCCAGACGTCCATCACACAGACCATTCGCAGGTATTGCGCTGTCCTGGCCGCTCCACAGGGTGGGGGCCAGGGGCTGTGGGGACACAGACAGCCACAGTGGGTGGGACTAGGGCAGGGGCCCCTCCTGCCCCAGTGTTCTCCTCGGTCTTAGTCCCCCCATCTCCTGTCCTCCTCCTGTTCTGGGCACCGACTGCTCTCCTGTTACCCCTCCTCACGACCTCCTCCCCCAGTACTCACGCTCTCCTTCTTCCACCTCCCCAATGCTCTGGCCTCTCAGCAGCCGACAAGTACGCTTTGGGCGTGTCCACACTCTGCCCCTCCTGGGTGCCCGGGCTGCCTGCAGGGCCCTCCCACCGCACCAGTCTCTCTCTTGGTCCCTGCTCAGGTGCATCATACAGGTCATGAGTGTGTTGGTGTTTTCTGGCATGTGGATGGCATGCAGCCTCTTGGGAGCTGCCAGCATGGTTGGCATTCCCTGGGGCTCTTAACAGCGGGTGCTGCAAGTGTTTTTGTTTGCATATCCAAGGGCTGTGTACGGGCTTCTGGGCCCTGTAGCACCTGCTGTCTGGGATTTGTGGTGTCCTGGGTTTTGGCTGCTGCCTAGGGCCAAGCTCCTTTGGGCTGAGCTCTCAGCTTCCTGTCTGGATTCAGTGTCTCCCTTCAGTTCCCCTTTAGGGATGGGGTGAGGGCCCATGTGAAGCACTCAACTGGGTAAGGCCTGCTAGCTGTGGTTTAGTGGGAATTTGGAGTTGGCTGTTTAGGGTGTGGCCAGGGATGGCACCCACTCATCCTCTTAATTAGACCATGACTACCTAGACCCTGGACCCTAGGGTGACTAGAAGTCAGGGGCAGGGCATGCTGTCCCACAGGAGGGCCTTTGAAGCCCCAGCCTAGGAGCAGGGAGATCTGGCTGTCCCTTGCTGAGTCCTTCCTATGCCAGGGGGACAGCTGACTGGTTTGGAGTGAGCAAGGACAGTGACAGCACCCAGAAGTGGCAGCGCAAGAGCATCCGTCACTGCAGCCAGCGCTATGGGAAGCTGAAGCCCCAAGTCATCCGGGAACTGGACCTGCCCAGCCAGGACAATGTGTCGCTGACCAGCACCGAGACGCCGCCCCCACTGTATGTGGGGCCTTGCCAGCTGGGCATGCAGAAGGTATGCCGCCCACTGCGGCCCTGCAGGCCCCTCATTCTCCCCAGGCTAGGGCTGGGGACACAGCCTGCCCAGGCAGAGGAGGTGCTATTCTGGGAGAGCGGTCAGATAGTCCCATGACGGCACCTGAGATACTCTGTGGGAAGGGGGACCTTGTGATGGGGACAGGGTCCTGGATGGGAAGGCGTCCCAGGCTGAAGAGCAGTGCAGAGGCCCTACTAGCAGGGAGAAGGACTCCTCTTGGGGCTGTAGGGTGGGGATGGTGCCCGTATAGCTGTCCCGGAGCCCATGAGGGGTGAGAGGGGAGCAGTCACACTCTGCACGAAAGGCTTGTGTGGGTCTGGGTGGGCTAGGAACCCCGTGTTGCTGACCCAGCCCTGACTCCAGTGTCCCCTCCCCTCCGCCAGATTATAGACCCCCTGGCCCGAGGCCGGGCCTTCAGGGTGGCCGATGACGCTGTGGATGGCCTGAGTGCCCCGCACACTCCCATCACGCCAGGTGCTGCCTCCCTCTGCTCCTTCTCCAGCTCCCGCTCAGGTTTCAACCGGCTCCCGCGGCGGCGCAAGCGTGAGTCGGTGGCCAAGATGAGCTTCCGGGCAGCAGCGGCGCTGGTGAAGGTGGGTGCAGGGGCCAAGGGTGGGGATGAGGGCGAGCCGGCTTCTGGGTCCCATGCTCAGTTCCTTGCCCCCAGGGCCGCTCGGTTAGGGATGGCACATTGCGCCGGGTGCAGCGCCGAAGCTTCACTCCTGCCAGCTTTCTGGAGGAAGACACAGCTGACTTCCCCGATGAGCTGGACACGTCCTTCTTTGCCCGGGTAAGAAGCACCCAGGGCATCTCCCAATCCTCTTCGTCTCTGCGTCCACCCTGACCTCACTTGTTTGCTAGGAAGGTATCCTCCACGAGGAGCTGTCCACATACCCAGACGAAGTTTTTGAGTCGCCATCAGAGGCAGCGCTCAAGGACTGGGAGAAAGCCCCGGAGCAGGCGGACCTCACTGGGGGGGCCCTAGACCGCAGCGAGCTGGAACGCAGCCACCTGATGCTGTGAGTGTGGAAGGCGGGTGAGGGGTCCACCTGGGGAACCTGGGGCCCATCAGGGGCAGCTGGCCAAGGCTCTGGTGCTCACAGTCTGGGGGTGATGGAAAGGGCTGCTTCGTGGACTGGGAACCCACCATAGGTGGGAGACCCCGGGCTGGGCATGATGCCCATCTCAACTGCCCGTCTATGGAATGGGACAGCAGTCCCACAGCCCAGGGGCTGGACAGAATCCAGCAGGGAGCAGCAGGTGACATAGTTAACACTTGCTAAAGCACAGAACCTCTGGTATGTCCTGGTTCCCTCCTCCCTGCCATGCCCAGAGGGGTGCAGGGTTGCTCTTTTACTGGTAAGGAGGAGGCTGATGCTGAATGACTCGCCCAGCGTCTTACCACTAGTCCTGGGTGGGATGGAGACAGACGGGTGCCCCGGTTCCAGGAGGCTGCGGTGAGGAATGGAACGGTAGCAGGTTGGGGGGCTGGGGAGGGAAGTAAACGCGCTGGCTCCCTCCAGGCCCCTGGAGCGTGGCTGGCGGAAGCAGAAGGAGGGTGCCGCAGCCCCACAGCCCAAGGTGCGGCTTCGGCAGGAGGTGGTGAGCACCACCGGGCAGCGACGGGGCCAGCGCATCGCAGTGCCAGTGCGCAAGCTTTTCGCCAGGGAGAAGCGGCCGTATGGGCTGGGCATGGTGGGACGGCTCACCAACCGCACCTACCGCAAGCGCATCGACAGCTACGTCAAGCGCCAGATTGAGGACATGGATGATCACAGGTGGGTGTGTGGTAGGGATGCAGCCCTGGGCTGGCAGTCCCGGGGGGTGGAGCTCTTGGGTGAGGGCGGGGGGCCGTGGGTCGGGGATGCGGCCCCTGCTGATGCTCTGCCTCGCAGGCCCTTCTTCACCTACTGGCTCACCTTCGTGCACTCGCTCGTCACCATTCTAGCCGTGTGCATCTATGGCATCGCGCCTGTGGGCTTCTCGCAGCATGAGACGGTGGACTCGGTGAGCCCCTGTGCCCTCCCCGGGCCCAGATGACTGGAGTCTGGGCTTGGACGCCCTCCTACCCCGGTCAGGTAGAAGAGGGGCCACGTTGGCCGGTCTGATCCCGCTCCCCAACTTCCTAGGTGCTGCGGAACCGCGGCGTCTACGAGAACGTCAAGTACGTGCAGCAGGAGAACTTCTGGATCGGGCCCAGCTCGGTGAGGGCGGGGCTGGGGGCGGCGCCTGGAGGTGCTCGGCGGGCAGGGGGCCTGGGCCCACAGCTGCACGCGCTCCTTCACCCACAGGAGGCCCTCATTCATCTGGGCGCCAAGTTCTCGCCCTGCATGCGCCAGGACCCGCAGGTGCACAGCTTCATCCATGCGGCGCGCGAGCGCGAAAAGCACTCAGCCTGCTGCGTGCGCAACGACAGGTCGGGCTGCGTGCAGACGTCGGAGGAGGAGTGCTCGGTGCGTTTCCCTGCCCCGGCTCCCACTCTTGTCTGTGCTGTGTGTGTTCAGCCTGCAGACTGACACAGTTGAATGATCCTGTACCTTTATCCTTGGGACATTGAACGTCCTATGTGCAGGGCCTTTCCCATCTCATTCGTTCTTTTTTTTTTTTTTGAGACAGAGTCTTGCTCTGTTGCCCACCTAGAGTGCTGTGGCGTCAGCCCAGCTCACAGCAACCTTGCCTGGGTTTAGGCAATCCTTCTGCCTCAGCCTCCCAGGTAGCTGGGACTACAGGCATGTGCCACCATGCCCAGCTAATTTTTTTTTCTCTATATATTTTTAGTTGGCCAATTAATTTCTTTCTATTTTTAGTAGAGATGGGGGTCTCGCTCTTGCTCAGGCTGGTTTTGAACTCCTGACCTTGAGCGATCCACCCGCCTCGGCCTCCCAGAGTGCTAGGATTACAGGCATGAGCCACCACACCTGGCTTCGTTTGTTCTTATCCCGTACTCCTCCAGCTCCATCTCCTTGCCCCAAAGATGACCATTTGATTTTTTGATTTGGTCTTTTGCTTTGGGTGTACTCACTGAGTATGTGTCTTGTTGGTGTGTATGTGTCTTAAAGTTTGCATAACTGGTATTGCCTTTTTATCCCACTAAACAGTTTTTAAAAAGATTGATCCAAACTTTTATCACATCATCTTATATGCAGGTGCCATAGTTTATACCAGTCCCCTGATTTAGGGCACAGAGGTAGTTTCTAATTTTTAAGTTAATAGTAATTATGCTGGTGAACGCCTTGTAACAGAATCTCTACCAAGATGCATGTGCATTTCAAGAGTATAAATTCATAGAGGCTGAGTTGTAGAGTCACAGGGAGGATTTCAGCGGTTTTGCCTTTGACCCCTGACTCCCTGAGGCACCACATTGCCCTGACTGAACTAGGTAAGGGGTGGGCTCTGACCAGGGCTGACCCTGTGTCCCCTCCATAGTCCACCCTGGCAGTGTGGGTGAAGTGGCCCATCCATCCCAGTGCGCCAGACCTTGCAGGCCACAAGAGGCAGTTTGGCTCCGTCTGCCACCAGGATCCCAGGTCAGTCCTGCTGGCCACTCTCCTACCTGCTTTTGTCCACGCCTTCCTGGGGGGTGTGATGGGGGTATGCTCCCCTTGGTGTTGAGTTGGGTGGAAGGGTACCAATGCCAGGGGGTTGAAGCAGGGTCTCACCACACACTTGGTTCATGCAGGGTTTGTGATGAACCCTCATCCGAAGACCCCCACGAGTGGCCAGAAGACATCACCAAATGGCCGGTGAGCTGGGGTGGGGGGTTATTGGTGAGTCACCCTTGTCATGTGGTGGAGGAAGCCACACCTACCCATTAGTAGTGCCGGAGACTCACACATTTTCAGATGCTGTACCCCTGGCCTTTGCACAGCCCATCCTGCCCCTCTGAGCAAGTAGTCAGAACAGGAGAGCTAGGTGAAGACTTTGAAGGTCAAATGATATTATTCCAGTTTGACAGATGGCCCAGCTGAGGCTTAGGGTGTGGTGGCTTGCCTGAAGTCAAGGAAGGCCTGCTTTCTACCTCATGAGCTTGTCCATCTTTGCTTCATCCCCAAACATGGTGTGGGGTGGAGGGTTGGAGGAGGTTCTGACCCATCTCACCCCCATTTGTGACCCAGATCTGCACCAAAAACAGCGCTGGGAACCACACCAACCATCCCCACATGGACTGTGTCATAACAGGCCGGCCCTGCTGCATTGGCACCAAGGGCAGGTAGGTGTACCTGTGTGAGTGTGTAGCTGGTCTCTGGTCTCAGAGCATTGCCCTAGGGCTGTGCCCTTCTCCCTCACCGAGTCCTGAGATAACCCAATATATCAAGGAGTGTGGGGTGGCAAAGGGTCTGGACTTGTTCAGGGCCAACAAAGCAGGTGGGTGGGGCTGAAAGCTGCCCCTGGTCCCCAGCAGTCCCCCTCTGCAAAGTGGCACCCTCCAAACCTTAGCCTGACCTTCCAGGTGTGAGATCACCTCCCGTGAGTACTGTGACTTCATGAGGGGCTACTTCCATGAGGAGGCCACACTTTGCTCTCAGGTAGGTCTCCTGGTCGAGTATGCTTCCCCTCTGCCCAGCCACTGTGGGTCCTGATGGGCCACTCTGCACAGGTGCACTGCATGGATGACGTGTGTGGGCTCCTGCCTTTCCTCAACCCTGAGGTGCCTGACCAGTTCTACCGCCTGTGGCTATCCCTCTTTCTGCACGCCGGGCAAGTGACACTGTGGGCAGGGTGGTGTGGTCTCAGGGACCCCAGGAGTGGCTGGCTGGGAGTGGCAGAGAGGTCCCTTTCCCTGCTGAGTGCCTCCCTACTGCCACCCCCCCCACAGGATCCTGCACTGCCTGGTGTCCATCTGCTTCCAGATGACCGTCTTGCGGGACCTGGAGAAGCTGGCAGGTTGGCACCGCATAGCCATCATCTACCTGTTGAGCGGTGTCACTGGCAACCTGGCCAGTGCCATTTTCTTGCCATACCGGGCAGAGGTGAGGCTGCCCCTCAGGGTGGGGATCCTCCTGTGTGTACCTGTGGTCTGGTGTGAACTCAGTCTATGTTGAGCACTGAGTTTGGGTCTTTATGGCGTCTAGCCTGGGAGCATCTGCATCTGGCTCCTCAGTCCTGATGCGCTCTTGGCCATGGGAGGTGGGACGGAAAGATGAGGCCCTGGGTCCAGGGGGGCCCATTCTGCCCCACTGGCTCACAACCAACCCTACTGCCTCCCAGGTGGGCCCTGCCGGCTCGCAGTTTGGCATCCTGGCCTGCCTCTTTGTGGAGCTCTTCCAGAGCTGGCAGATCCTGGCGCGGCCCTGGCGTGCCTTCTTCAAGCTGCTTGCTGTGGTGCTCTTCCTCTTCACCTTTGGGCTGCTGCCCTGGATTGACAACTTTGCCCACATCTCGGGCTTCATCAGTGGCCTCTTCCTCTCCTTTGCCTTCCTGCCCTACATCAGCTTTGGCAAGTTCGACCTGTACCGCAAGCGCTGCCAGATCATCATCTTTCAGGTGGTCTTCCTGGGCCTCCTAGCTGGCCTGGTGGTCCTCTTCTACTTCTATCCTGTCCGCTGTGAGTGGTGTGAGTTCCTGACCTGCATCCCCTTCACCGACAAGTTCTGTGAGAAGTACGAACTGGATGCTCAGCTCCACTGAGCTGGCTGCCAGCACTGGTGGCCACACGCTTCAGGCCAGAGCCAGACGGACACGACCATCCTTAGCTTCACAGGCCTAAGGGACTCACCTGTTTCTGAACACAGACCTGTTGTGCCTTATTCACGTCTGTTGAACCCTTCATAATGCCGGGCATTTATTACACTACTTCCTGTGATAACCTTCTAACTAGTCTCTTGACGACCACCTCATGTGGCCAATAAATGGACTGGGAGCGTTTTAGCTGCCACTAACTTGACCAGGGCTTCTTCCTCCTTCCACCTCGTTTCTGGCTAGGGGCGGTAGAGGGAGGTCCGGCGGGCCCCTGGCCTCCGACTCACAATTCCCCAGGACATGAACTAAGTGTCAGATACCGTCATAGGCTCTTTCACTCCCTAAGTAGGCACACCTTGCTCCCCCTTCCTGAGTGGCTGGCAGCTAAGGCTGGGGCAAGGCCTCAGGGATGTGTATCATATACCCCACCCCCAACATACTGTGAAGTGCTTCCTTCACGCCCAGCTGTCCCAATTCCCCCCGTGCGGCCTCCCTTTTCACAGAGCCTGATGAAGGCACTGGTGTAGGTGAACACTGTAGGCTGAGGCTGGCGGTCCTACTCACAGCTGTGCTCTTGGATGCCCTTGCTTCCTAAGCAGAAATAGAGAGATAGCTGCCCTGCTATTATTTCCTCCTTGCTGTGGAGATCATGGTAACAGAATCATGTGATTTGGGGAGTGAGATCACCACTAGTCTCAAGTGTTACCTCTTGGGCTTTAGGACTCACCTGCAATAGTTACCTCCTCTTACCTCCCCTCTGTGATGGGGCAGCCCCAGTCCCTCCTACCCAGGGTACTGTTGTTTTTCGACTTTTCAAACTCAGAACCAAACAGGTTTATTCTGTACACAGGGCCAGGCCCATAGCCCTGTAGGACTGACCACATGATCAGGGTATTTGGGCCCAGGGAGAGGTAGGCTCAGGCCAAGTACACAGGAAAGAAAGGAGCACTGGTTCACCCAATCCTGTCCTGAGGACTGTAGGGTTTGTGCTGATAGCTCCAGGTGGACACAGCTGGGCTGAGGCCACCTCAACATCCTTTCTGTGAAAGAGGAACAATGACTTGAGGGCACCATCCTTCTGGGAAAAAGCTCGACCACCAGTGAATAGAGTTGTTCTTATCTGGAGGTTTACTTTTGTCTCAGCTTTTTGATGAAGGAAACCTCATCCCGATTCCGGATACCATAACTGTGAAAGAGAAGGGAGGGTGTAAATTGTTTGACCTACAGAAGTATACATTTGTGACTCCCCACCAGAGGCTTGTGAGGGACCAAGAAACAACAGGTGGGGATGAGTGTGGCATCCAGGACGGCCAGGAGGTGGTAGTGGCCATCCTCCTGCAGACCCATACTGTACCAGCAGGGCAGCCTTTCACCTCCATGCCCACTCTCACTTCTTTCCTGCTGGCACTGTGCAGCCCTGAGCTGCTGCTGCTGGTGAGAAATGGCAGGTCCCCTCAAGCTGCACCTCTGCCTGCCATTCTTCTTGTGGGGAGAGCCCCAACGAAGCTCCTTGCAGGAGGGCATCACCTCCTGGGAGGGGGATGCCCCACTCTGGCAGAGCACTGGGGACTAGAGGGCAATAGATCAGATGTCCCCCTACAGCTCAAGATATGGTCTATACTTACTCTCGGAGCTTCTTCCTGTCCTCTGTGAGCTTCTCTCCTGCAGAGGTCAGATGGTATGTCCTCCACACATAGGACCTGCAAGAAGGGGACTCAGGTAAACTATAAGCCCTAAACAGGGCGAGGCAAGTGGCTGTGCATGACAGGGACTTGAGGCATCAGCCTTATTGGCCCTGGGGCATCTGTCTTCCCCATCTGGGCTTTTCTCCCACACAATATACACATCAGGCCTGAGGGAGCTGTAAGGAGGCACTGTTCTCAAAGGGCTGTATGGGGCAGCGGGTCCAAACACACTTTGCTAATAAAATAGGCGACAGTGCCAAGACTCAGCTGACAGGACACTTCATCCAGGAGAGCAAGGGCTGGCAGCACGTAGGTGAGGAGGGACAGGAGCCCTGACAGATGCACCATCTATAACTACAGAGGCCCCTTCCAGACACACTGGAAATGTTCTAAGGCATCCCCAAGTGAAGATATCAAGCAGCTTGGGTGGGGTAATGTACATGAAAGAGCCAATATGTCTAGAAAGAACAGCTGAGGCAGCAGTCCCAGGCACAGAAGCCCCTGCCCTGTCTGAACTCTTGTAACAGGGAGCTTGTCCCTTCAGTGGTGATGTGCTCAGGTGGAGCTGGGAGCTGTTGCTCCACTTACCAGCTGATGTGCTGAATGCCCCCTTCACGCTCCTGCTTAAGCTGCACGTATCTCTGGATGGCCTTCTTCAAGTCCAGGACCGTGGCATTCTGCACTACAACCACAGCTGCAACCACGAACACAAAGGTGAGATCCATAGTGGGAACCCACAGCCACAGCCTCCGACGATAAGAGATTAACCCAGAACCTCTGCTGAGCTTGATGTGTTGGGCAGAGCAGGTTTGTGGTTGTCCCAATGCCCCTGGGCATGGCCTGTGAGTTTGTGCTCACTAGCCTAACATCTTGCCCCTGTGAAAGCTCGGACACAGGCCTGAAGGGAGGTGGGCGGCACTTACGCATCACTTCTCCATCCATCTTGCACACTCGGACTGTCATTGCTTGGCCATATTCTAGTGCTATTTGGGAATTGACCTCTTCCAAAGTAACCTAGAAAAGACCAAGGGTGGAAATAGGAAGCCTGGCTTTCTTAACTACCTCAAACAACAAAGAAAACAAGCTGACAGTTGCCAAGAAGTGATGCTCCATTTTATGAAGGGCAAGGAAGGGAAGGGGCTCTTGCCTATATGTTAGTGTTTCTCCAGCACCCCAATCTCATGTTCCACCCACATTTTTTTTTTTTTTTGAGACAGAGTCTCGGTTTGTTGTCCAGGCTAGAGTGAGTGCCGTGGCGTCAGCCTAGCTCACAGCAACCTCAAACTCCTGGGCTCGAGCGATCCTTCTGCCTCAGCCTCCCGAGTAGCTGGGACTACAGGCATGCGCCACCATGCCTGGCTAATTTTTTCTATGTATATTAGTTGGCCAATTAATTTCTTTGCATTTATAGTAGAGACAGGGTCTCGCTCTTGCTCAGGCTGGTTTTGAACTCCTGACCTTGAGCAATCCGCCCGCCTCGGCCTCCTAAGAGCTAGGATTACAGGCGTGAGCCACCGCACCCGGCCTCACCCACATTTTTATTTAATATCCAAAGTGGACAGAGTCTCTGGGGAAAGCAGTGCAAAGGAACAGGCAGGGAGAATGAACTCACAGGAGGATCAGCCCCGTGATCTGGGTAGGGAAACACTGGGCTTGACTGTCAGTTCACCAGAGGGTCCTTGACCACCAGGATCTAGGCCAGGGTCCCAGCACTAGGGTAAGGTGGGTGTGCAAAATTTACCAAGGTGCCAAAAAACAGTAATGGTAATAATAACTTTAATACAACAGTGAAGAAATACAAGTTAATTTTAACCATCCACATGATGGGCTAAACATAAATAAATTTAATAAAGGCAGTATTACACCAAAGCATATTGATGCTTGAGGAAAATGGAAAAAGCAGTAACACTCATCTTGTCTTCATTTAAAATTTAATATTTTGCTTGCCTTTCCAATGTTGCTTAGACTGTTTTAAAGTCAACTTTGACTTTTGAAAAATATTACATTAAAATGTCATTTATCAAAAAATAAATAATAAATAAATAAATAAAATGTCATTTATCAGCCGGGCGCGGTGGCTCACGCCTGTAATCCTAGCACTCCTGGGAGGCCGAGGAGGGCGGATTGCTCGAGGTCAGGATTTCGAAACCAGCCTGAGCAAGACCCCGTCTCTAATAAAAATAGAAAGAAATTGACCAACTAAAAAATATATATACAAAAAATTAGCCGGGCATGGTGGTGCATGCCTGTAGTCCCAGCTACTTGGGAGGCTGAGGCAGGAGGATCACTTGAGCCAGGAGTTTGAGGTTGCTATGAGCTAGGCTGACGCCACGGCACTCACTCTAGCCTGGGCAACAAAGTGAGAGTCTCAAAAAAAAAAAAAAGTCATTTATCCTTACTAGTAAGTTTTTTGGTGCCCCTTTAAATTCCGCGCCCCAGGCAAATGCCTCGCAGGCTTCACCCTAGGCCCGCCCGGCCCAGGTTAAGACCCTCGTTTACCCCCGGAGGCGCCTTCCTCGGCCTTCGGGCCGCAGCCCGGGGTCCTGGCCCGACCCCCGCCCGCAGCAGCCCCGGGCCGACCCTTCCAGCCCGCGCACTTGGATCGGCAGATCGCAGAGTAGCGGGTCCTGCACCACCATGGCGAGACCTTCCTGGAACACGTCCACCGCCTCAGAGTGCGGCAGCGCCTCCTCTTCGTCCTCATCGTCCTGCGGCGCCTCGAGCCGACCCGCAGCCTCCGCTTCCTCCAGGGTCGCCAGTCCCTGGCCGGGCTCCGCGGGCATCACCAGCCCGCGCTGGGGAGGCGGATCGCACACGCGCGGGAGCTACGGCCCGCCCCAGCCAGGCAGACCTGCCCTTGGAGCGCCCGGGGCCGGGCGTCTGCGACCACCAATGAGAAGTGCGAAATGGCCTGCCGCAAAGTCTACTGGGAGCGCGAAATCGGCGTGCCTATTGGTGGGCTCAGGGAAAGGGCGGCTGCCAGGACCAATGTGAGTTGGAGCCCGGCGGCGCGTAGGCGCCAACCTGCCGCGGGAGCTGCCGGGAGTGGGAGCCTGCGGGGCGGAGTCCGAGACGATGCTGCTCTTCTGCCCGTGCTGCGGGAATGGGCTGATCGTGGAGGAGGGGCAGCGCTGCCACCGCTTCGCCTGCAACACTTGCCCCTACGTGCACAACGTCACTCGCAAGGTAACAAATCGGAAGTATCCAAAGCTGAAAGAAGTGGATGATGTGCTTAGGGGAGCAGCTGCCTGGGAGAATGTTGATTCTACTGCAGAGCCATGTCCCAAATGCGAACATCCTCGTGCTTACTTCATGCAGCTTCAGACCCGCTCTGCAGACGAGCCAATGACCACCTTCTACAAGTGCTGCAATGCTCAGTGTGGACACCGCTGGAGGGACTAGGGCCAGGGTGGCCCAGCTGCCTGAGCGTCTGTTTACCTTGTCCCCCAGGGTGGATTCTCAGCTGGGATTATGAATTCTGTGTTTCTGCTGGCATGGCAGAAAACTAACTGTTTTGGGG